ATATATATTTAAAGTTTCGAACATAACAACAATACTCTATGACAGTTTTGTTTTTGACAGTGAATTATATATTTTCTTCAATATTTGAGAAAAAAGTTTCTTGCGACAATCTGGCTGGTAGCTTTTATTGCTGGTAAATGTTTCGGCACTTTGTTGTACTTCTGAATTGGCAGTATGAAACGGTGAGCGTAGCAAAACTATTGTGGAAAATGAATGAATGAAATAATCAACATTTTTGCATCTGAAATTCACTTCTTGTTTAACTTAATCTAAAAATTGTCTCAACTTGTGTCACTCACCAATGTGCATCAACCACGGAGGACAGTGAACATGATGAACGTCTAATTTGATAATTATTGGCTGGTTAGCTGAACAGCTCAGAAATTGTTTGACTTAGCTCGTTTAAAGGATGGTAACCTCTTGTCTTATCCTCGCTAATGAGAAGCTGTCATTTTGCTTGTTTTAAGTTCAACCCATTTTCGTTTGTCCAACAGGGTCTCCTCATTTCGGTACAAAATTTGTTGAAATGCACCTTTCACAATAGGAATTGCAGTTTATGTGTTGAACACGTGTGGTGCTTGTATATTCTGGTATGGAAAACCAGGAAGTCTCAGGAGAAGCGCAGATAATCAGGTTGACTTGACTATCTTTGATTGCACATAAAGTGAATTGCTGTAAAAAGGGAAACCACCATAGTCAAGGGGCATACTGTAAAAACGGGAGTAAGGAAACATTCACGTAAAATCCAGCTTGTTGATTCTGCCTTTAAAGAGTGAAAGTTTGTAAGCTGAGGGGAAGGCAGAGAATGCAAGGGTGTGCTACAATGACATTTCGGGGAAATTTATGTTTCGGTTCAAAGTAGAGATTAAAGAGAAGAGATGTGGTGAATCCGGGGGTACAGAATCAATAATGCGGTTCTGTCCGAGGATGTCAGTGAGGGTTGCAAGTTCATGTATGCTATGCGAGTGAGCAGAATGGGCCAGAACATGATGGATTTTGTATAGTCATATTCATGCTACGAGAAGGAAACTGGCAAACACGATCCTGATACTTGAATTGGCTAACCGCATAAGGCCTCAAAAGATCATGTGTAGCAGTGAACCGTGCAACAGCTAAGCTGTCTAATTGCATCACTTCGCATATGGTTTGACGCCTACTGGTTTCAACAACAAATACACATTGCCTCGTTCCGATATTTTCTCGAATTCCAACATCTACCCATTGCCTGTCATCTTCGGCCAATGTTGACTTACAGACACATGCAACGAAACCCTGGATCCAGCTAGAGCATTACCTTGCTTTTCTCTGACCGGACGTGATTGTTATTCCCGCGCGGAACGTTGCAACGGGATTGCGGAATGTGTGACTTGGGTCGATGAGATGGGTTGTCCGGAGAACAAAAGCGATTCATCCAGCCCATATCGTTTGGTGGACTCTTATCAACTTCTCTATCGTTTGTGGAATGACGGCGAGTGGCTGTGGCACAGCTCGTTTGTAAAGTGAGTGCCCACTCTCGAAACAGTGCTCGTTCAGTCATACGGCAAGGCAATTTACTTTCTGTCTTCAGCGTATCGGCTAACCCCTTTCTGTAATCTTGACCGCATTCAGCGAAGGATACCATACAGTCTGATATGGGAGTGAGTGTATTATTAGGCAGGCATTCGGTATATATTAAAATGTCGTTGCACTTTGACGATCAGTTCAAATCCCAACACATTTTGATAAAAGTGTACACATTGTAACAAAGGGAACAGCATAACCGAAGGCTTATCAGATAAAATGAATTTGATAGCTTATTATTATGGTCAAATTTTAACAGAGGACGATCGTGCCACGTGGTAGATGCAATCGATTCCTGTTCGATTATAGAATTACAATGAGTGTATAACCGAATGTAAGGAAGGGCGATGTAATTGATAAAAGATTGTTTTGAGGAATACTGAAGTGGGCGGTCAAGGTTGTGGTGATGGGATTCGAACCTACATTCATCCGCGCCATATGTTACACGCCTGATGTAGGTGAGCATTAATCGTAATAAAATTTTGATTGCACCTAAGTAACAAATATAAATCTTACTAAAGTATCATGAGTGTCTGCCCTGTCCGGATAAATCAGTGTTGTAATCTTAAATGCATGACAACTGCGACAGACGCGGGGATACCGACAGTTGATACACATCCCAATAAAATTATATTCCTGAAATCAAACAATCAATGCACAAAAAATAAATCTATGCACTTGAACTTTTGGTAAAAATTGAAATTCTGTGTTAGGACGTGCTTTTTGCCAAACTGCTTTATCCACACGGTATTTGTGAGTAATTCCTTTCTCTCTGATCTTTCAGACCGGATGGACAAATTCAATTTCGTGTGAATCTTCCCAAATTGAATGCCGATTGGGTAGCCGGAGCGTTTTCGATCGATCGTAACCTGGGACTGTCTCTGATGCAACGACCCCATCTGTTCTCTGGCACAAGACGTTTTTATATGACCGTTGAGGTACCGGAAGAAGCAGTTTGGGGTGAACAGTTGGGTGTACGAGTCTGTCTATTCAACAACTGGAACTATTGGATAGAAGTAAGTTGAGCGATTTCCGCACTGTCTGTTTTGCACACATTCCGACCCAGACCAGGGGTGGCGTTAGTTTTTCGGAGTGCACACCCTAATCGATCAATCCTTTAACCCATGGGTGCATTTACCAACCTACCACATTTTGAAGTTTTCTCACTTATGTGATTTCTGTTGGGATCCGTTTGTTTAATGGCTGTTGGGAGAATCACTAGAGAACAAGAACATCGGGTGTATTTTTCAGTTCACTGCGAAATATGATATACCATTTTGACAGTTCATCACCCGGTTACTTATCACAAGCCAAGATACTGTAACACTGAAAAAATTGATTCTATTTCTTTTGGAAACGGATGGGGAAGAATCACCTTAAATTTGTGAATAACACACCATTTCCCCATTTTGTTGCTTTGTTTTTTCACTGCGATGCTAGGCTCTGGTCGAGGTGAAACCAAGTCCGGATGTGCGTGTGGTACACGTGGGTTATGGCGGTCGTGTGTCTGCCTACAGTCCGGTTACCACAACCAATATGGCCGTGCAATCTTTGGCTTTCCTGGAGGCGGGCACTTCACGCTACATCTACATGCCCCTGCTGCCAAAAGATGTTGGAAACACGTCGTTCACCATTTGTTCCTACAGTTTTATCGGTTCGAACTGTGAGACACGAAGTATTCATGTGCGGGTAAGGGAATCCGATTTGGGAATGAATATTGCGCACGTGTCTCTGTTGAAATCAAAATCGCTGTTGCGATTAGAACGGTCCGTAAGCGCCCGTCTTTCGTAGTACAGATTAAAAATGAATTTATTTTCATCTCATCAGTAATAGTAACTATCGGGGTTTACTGATAGAAATCAGCAATGCCGTAACCGTTACTATGTTTACGTCCAATGAACTGGCGATTTGCTACAACCATAGCGGACTTTGCAATAATCACGAACAATTTAAAAACCAGACGGGATTAGTCCATTGCACATTATGGGCGTAGTAGTCAAACTAAAACCCCAAAGTCAGCGAACTTCGAGTACACCTGCAGGCGTCGAGTGATACACAAATGGATTTTATTGAACGAGTGGGAGATGGTTGAACTGCTTTCCTTAATGCATGCATGTAACCAGAAAAAAAGCATCGCCAATCGATTTCAAAAGTAGAAGTCTTGTTCATTCAAAAGTTTAACCCCTCAACGCTGGTTGCTTAAGAGAAATGCCGATAATTAGTAATTACTCCTAACTCCGTAAATGCTCATTCTGTCGAAGAATTCTCGCGACAGTCATCCGCCATGGACCTTCCCGTATGCTTCACGTTCATTCATGCAATGACTCACTCTTCTCCATTTGAAAAGCCAATCCAGACACCACTGATTACTTGTGGAATTTGTATCACTGTTTGATATTTATCTAGAGCAGCACTTCCCGAGAACATTTGCTTTTATTCAAGCAAATTACTGCCTTTGGCCTCTTGAGAAAATACTAACTCAAAACTTTACAATCTCGTTTCGTCCACACAGATGAACGGGATCACAAATTACTATCACACAGCAAAGTTTCTCGATTTGACCAGCTCCAGTGCACTTTTTGTGAACAACTTCAAAATAATCGTACCCCAAAAGTATACAGTTCCGGAACGTCGCTGGCATCGTTTCGTACCCGGATCCCAGTATGCTGATCTCAGTGTTGTGGGTAGGTCATCATTCGCATTCAGTACTCATTAGCTCCACTCGACCCCTTTCTCCATCCCCAAATTGTTTCAGTCGGTTACATCTTCTTCCTGATATTTCTCAAATCACGTCGTTATATTGGACAGTCAAGTGTGTCACCATCAAAGGACCAGGCCATTATTATTGTGTTTGAGGTGTCTGTCTGACAGTGTGTCTATCCACCTCTATGAGTGTAGATAGAACAGTGGTCATTGGTTAATGCAGTTTGGTACTCTTACGACTATAGAGTTCAGTGAATTAATTTGCAAAATGTAAACAACTGTAATATTCTATTCCCAGATGGTTGGATCGATTTGCGTTGCGGATATTACCCGATAGAACTGGAGTGGCTGCGAAATTCTGCATAGAATTTTATTTCCAATTGCACTTTAGCAACACACTTGAAATAAGTAGAAAGGATCTTATTTCATTTCAGACCCAGGAAGATAAGCATCAGGGCTGTCGGGAAATGATCGCTGGGTTATTCGCTTTATAATGCTGCAGTATGCTCTATATATGTAACTAGAAAGTATATGTTCATAGTTATGCCATCGAGTGGTTATTTCTATTTGTCTGTCCAAAAACATTATGCAAAAAACTTAATCTGTTAACAACCGTGTGAATTTGCTTGTTACCCGGGGACCATAGAGAGAGGACAAAAATTAATGGTAACAAAGAAAATACAAACGTGATAATTTGACAGATCAATAGTTAAAGAGTCTCCCCGAGAATAAAGTAGTATTTTGAAAGACAAAACGTGGGGGATGTCGGTGATGCTGATGATGACGTAAATGACGCGAAGTATAATGAAAAGCTCAACGAACTGTCTAATACAGACGAACGGTGCTTTCGAGACATTCCAGTGTTGTGGATACCACGTAAGCACACATGGATGAAGCATCCCTGAGAGGTGTAAAACAAATGAATTCTGGAACACAATACTCAGGTGGGATTCACACGCAGTTTGCAACTTACACTACGCATTAAGTCCACGTTAGACGGATGAGTAATAACCCACAAGGCTATGGTCAGACGAGTATTGTTAGCAACTTCTCACCGCCTAACTTTCCACGTTTCTATATATTATAGCCATTTTATTGGCTGCTTGACTCCTCCTAAAATATTGAGTGTAATATATATATATATATATATATATATATATGACAGTTTTGTAAACAACGATTTTGATTGTTGCTTTTGCAGCTCGGGTGGTATAACTTGATGTTCACTTGTTCACCGAGGTGACATTCTGAATGCAGTAACAGGGTGAGCGCTTACAAGTGTACCTTTCCTTATATAGGTCGTTTAGTGATGTGGAGACGTGACGTTGCCTAATTGGCTGATGTTTGTTCGCCTTGTGCCTATAGGGGATGAGGGGGGCGGATGGTCGTTTATCGATCAGTCTGTGTTATTGTTGGGTTCTTTTATGACGTGTGACATAACCTGCCTTTTTTGCACTGATTGGTCCTTTTGTTGCATGGGCGTGTGGACTTGATCCATGTAAATGTGTCGGTTGACCGAGTTTTCCGAGTGGGTGGTATGCTTGCGTTTTACCTGTGGGGTCCCGGGTTCGATACCCAGTTCAGTTGATGAACTATCACTGCTGATGACACCCAGCCAGGTCGAAACAGCTATCCATTGG